TGCATCTCGTTCTTGCTTCCATTCTGCTAATACCATATTTAAGTCTAACCGCATTTACTTATCATTCTTCATTTTTGCCACTCTGGCGACGCGATTCGTGGCAACTGCATCCACAGCACTTTGGTGCCCGGATCATGATTTATCAACTGCACTAAACTGAACTGAAACAACCAGGTAATCTTTAAGTATTGTGGCTTATTTAGGAACGTGAAACTCCAGATAGAACTTGGCTCACTTAACAGGAAAGCTAAAATACTACCAAGTCGTTATTATTCCTAACGTGGAATGTCTAGTTGAAAGTGGTGCTTTTTTCCTACAGTGCTTCTTTGGAAGCTAGTTTTCAGTCTACCGGTGTGCCCACCGTAACTGTGTTTTAACATTACCTTTGATACAAATACGGGCACATCGAGAACGTATTTCTCACGTGTACGTCAGTCTGTCTAATTCAATGAGAACATAGCCGCGATGAAATAGCAGCAGTTGTGCACCCTGTGTACGTTCGACCGCCAACGCGATGTCCATTTCTTTTACCACAGTAGACCCTGTACGCAAGGGTAACTTCAGTGCTACGGCTAAACATCGGTCAGTACAGAGCTCACAGGCATCCAGTTTTCCGCGAAATATTCTGTCCTCATACACTGACCAGAATGTATCCAACATTTACGTATCCCTAGTCTGCGCCTCATCGCGTGAAGTGCTGTGCAAGTTGGAGTACGCAGACGCCGCACTTGTGTGCGTGGTGTATGGTGTGAGATCCGATTGGATCTCCGGACTGCCGTTAGAATTCCTCGGGGTTTTCTCAGGGCGCGCAATGTGCGGAAATTTACGGTGCGTGCATGACAATTGGTAAACGCATCCTGACCATAGTACGTTTACTGCTTTCTGTACGATGGCCTATTTTAAAACACAATATTCGAAATGATCTCTGGATAAATCCACCGCTGTCATTTAATATTTCTACTCATACGATTATGAATAGCAGCTGGCTGTCATCGTACAAACAATGATCTACGTCGGTTCCTTTTGGTGGATTTGTCTGGCATTGGCTATATCAATTAACCATGAATGACATCGTAATTGGCTAGCAATTTCTAGCCAGAAGATCGGTTTTTGAACTCTCACCCTACAACCATCAATTACTAGGTGCGCAGAGTACACTGCGTCTGGCATAGTATGTTTCGTGAAATTCAGAATTCAGTACCCTGTTGCCATTGAAACGAAAGCCTAGCTACTTAGTGAGTTTCTTTCGAAAGAGATGGAAGGCCGTCAGTACAACGGGTCAATTTCATATTTGGTTTTTCATTACCCGTTCGGTATAGTATACCTTAGCAGCTTGCAGATTGGGACATTTTTCGTCAAAAGCCAAACATGCTGTAGGTGTTGCAATGGTTGTTTCACGCGATGTATGTCCAAAGTCTTTTATATCTCAAGTACATTTGAAAAATTGATTGTTGATATAAATAATACCCAGGTCATCGTCAGGGGGATGCGTGGACAACCGCCACGGACAACGTGAACAATGCGAAGTGAATTGCCTGGTATGGATACCAGAGACTCGCCTGTAAGTGCGTTAGTGTCAACTCTTCTAGCGAGCCTCTGAAGATCCAAACTTAAAAGGCAATCCTGAAGAACGTGCTAGCAGCTTGCAGAGTACGGAATAACGGATGAATGAGTACAAATAGGTGTACCTGCTGATGCATTTTTCCGGATCCAACGCATTGTCATTGGTCAAAATTTGAGGCTAACAATAAGATCAGGGTCTCCAACGCATCCCTGAGCGGGAGAAGCATTCGCTACTGGACGATGTTGACTACCGGCGCATCCGACAGAAACACCTTTTGGAGATACTGTGGTTCACCAGCTTGCGCTGGGAAGTAAACCGACTGGAGCCGTTGGTCTGCCGTTGAAATTAATTGGTTTACTCTGGTCAAATCATGTTGCGCAACTGTCGAACGTTTAACTATTTCGATAGCTCAATTATCATACTATACCCGGCTGGACAAAGCCGCAGACTAGTCAGTCAATTATGCGATGAAGAGGTCTGAAATTACCCAGCTTTAAGTATGTTGTTATCGTGGACATGGAAATCGGCACCGGCCTATTCAGACGTCGTGAATTCATCAAGCAAACCGTGTGACAGCATTTTATAGTTTGCGTGCGCGGTACTGCCGCGGGATCATCGCCCAGGAGACCAATCAGGTACTACACACCCGAGTTGACAATTACATGAACCGGAAGCACAGTACTGATTTGGCTCGGCCTAACACGAGCCAAGGAGGACATGATGAGTCAAAATAAGAGAGGAGCGGATTGGTCAAGGCAACAGCCAGCGAACAGAATTGAACTGACAAACTGGGGAGCAGTGGTAGTCAACCCAGTCATGGAAAACGGCATCGAGCAAATGGACGGAAAATCAAACAAGCATCGTCTACGCGAGTCGTCCATAATCTCACCAGCCGGAGGGATAACTTCACGTTAGTGTGCCCTTAAACGGTCCAGGGACAACTGGGAATAGCACATTCACGCAAGTGAATTCGCGAACGACCTAGAACGGCAACGAGAATTGGCCGGTGAAACAGAGCAGATATTAAAGTTTACCTAAGTACAGATGACGTTATTGTTGTTGAAACATAACAAAGATGTGAACACTAGTCAGAGGTTTACTCGGCAAAGACGAGCCCACACCAGATCCCCTCGCTAGCCTTCTGATCATCGATCATAACATGTTTTTTATATTTTCCACGCACTTGCAAGCATATGTCTGCTTCTGCTCGATTATTTCCTTCATTTATCTCGTTTTGTTTTAATCGTGGCCACATTGGCCCGGGAATAGAACCTGCTGGACTTCGGTCATAGTATATTAGGTGAACGAAACTGGGGACAACTTGGAGACACGTCATTTCATCTACGAATTGAACAGGGAAAACACTGGATTCACTGAGGTTCACTCAGCTCCGAGCAATCGTGGCAACTAATTCACGGTACAGAGAAACTCACCCACTGACAGCAAGAGGCTACTTCTTTGCTGATGAGGATGATTGATAGTAGGTTAAGGGAGAAGTGCGTGTAATTACCGACGATCCTTGAGAAGTAGAATACCACATGGGCCAGCTGAGACACACAAATATTGTTGTTATAGTCGCAACACTCAATATCGATGTTATATTGTTAGAAACATACAATTTTGTGTCCTTACACGGGGCCAATATGCTTTAGAATGTTATAACTCTGCTAACCGCGTAGAACGGCATAAGCATCTCGTGTTTCCGCCGAGGTCGTATCACCCAGTCATTTGGGCTTGTAATAGTATGAAGGTATCAGATGTAATCCTTATCCAATTCATCAAACACGGATTAGGGAACGCAGCAGAAGCCTGACATGCTGTACGTCACGTTAGCTGTCTGGCACAAAAATGCCTGTTTATTTTAATCAGTCTAGACTACCTTAAAACTGTCAAGAGATGCTTTGCAGATGAAAGTTGGGAAGCTGTGCTCTGGATGCAAACTCTGTTACCTACATAAATCAATAAATAATAAAGATGTTATTCTCGAATTTATCGAGGCACACCAAATCATACATGATCAAAGTGTACAAGCAATTATGTTTCGCAACCTACGCGTTGTCATGTATGTAATCGGCAGTGGTCGAAAGTTGCACAAGCTGCAGAAATGAAATATTCATGAGGAACAAAGTCATCAGTGGATAACGATAATTTGGGTTCATGTGTGCGTAGAGTAAACAGTAAAGGCCCTATAAATGTAGTGGGGACGATAGGTGTAGACGTACGTTCTTGTACGCATCGGGGAAATATTGCGATATGACTCTAGTCAACTTGCCAGTGCGTAGTTGTGGCAGTGACTTTATTCAGTGGCGAGTCACATCCACCACGTCGCAGTGTTGTGAAACGGACTTTTGTGACTTTTTATAGAGAGAACACTTGTCAGGCGAAAACCCACCACGTCCTGGAACACTACCGTAAATCCTTTTGAATGGTAATGTACAACTGACAAAGCATCTTGTCGACCGATTTCTCACTCGGTTATTCGCAGTCGAATGACTTCCAATTCCCTCTGTTGGCTGATTAGCAAATCGACTGAATCTTAGTTACGCTACTCCAGGGATAGACACCTATTCATGTCAACTATCGGCTTGCGTCATGGCTCGGATGTTCCAAACTCTACTGCCAGTGGTGAGGACGTTGGTTCGAGCCCCCTATTGCATCGCGGCAGTGTGCTTGATTGGCTGTTTACTGAAACACGTACTGGCCTTGCCGGTGGTCTTTCCGGGTTTCGTAGGAGTGAACCGTTTGGATCGCGGAATCATCTGCGCACGCCAAGCTGCACAAAAGGACACCGGTACAAACTTATCGTACCGAAGTTGAAGCGGGTCGCTCACCAAATCTGTTTCGAACGTAGAGTGGTGAATATCTGGAACGACCTGCCGCAGCAAGTAGTAGAGGCAAACACAGTGTCCGAATTTAAGAAGCTCCTAGACAAACACTTTGCAGAGGCAAAATATAGAGAACGGAACGATAAATAAGGCGTAAATGTCCAAGAGCGACGAATGATGCAGCTACACAGAGAAATCTCCACTCGCTGCTTCGAAACAGTATTCAGTATTCACTTCTTTGGAAACTTATGCCGCTGCAGAGCAAATGCATATGTACAACCGCACCTCGACGCAAATACACCTAGCCTATCAGAAACTTTATCTATTTGTGTAAACGCTGGCACGCGTTATTACTACTGTGTATGAAGTCAGTGACATTAGATAGGCCAGTTTAAAAAGAATAACAGAATACCGACTGTCAAGTTCACATCTGCACAACGAGTTGTCCCATAACAATGAACGAAAACTTCCCGGAATGTTAAAGGATGCTGATCTTTGTGAGAAGAACGATGAATAAAGTTGCACAAGAAAAAGAAACCACCAGAACCAATGTGGAACAAAAACTTGCAATGTGTTTCACAGTAGGAACAAAAGTTTTGCGAAACACGTACCTTGTATTGGGAGTTCTGTCGTTAAAAAATAAAGGGGGAGAAGTTATGGGATAACAACGCACATTATTAGAAAACGTTTAGTGATATCGGTAAATTTGAAGTGCGAAAATTTTCAGTGCAAACCGGGGTGTAGATTCCCATGGTGGGATCGAGTGGAAATTACACATCACCCCAGGAGCTTTGAATTCCATACTCGTCCCGCTGAAATGAGTAAGACAGACTAAGTGAAGGCGGACGACCAAATAAATTCAGAAATGAATGTTGAGCAAACACAGCCTTTATGTTCAACAGCGCTTCCTAGCAGATACTAAAGAAACACTGTTACGCATTATGACAAATAATGGGGGGGGGTACTTATTCCACAAAATCGGCCTGTTCTTCTAAAGGAAGTATGACCAAGTCACAGTAGGAACTCAAATACGCGGCTATGCGGAATGCGACCACGGTAATTATCCACAGTCCAAATAACCTGCCGAATTCCAATTGTTGCGCCAACATTGGAAAATCTGTGATGGCCAACAGCCTGCTTTCCAAGGCGTGATGGACATACTGATTGGCACGTTACCGACTGACAGCTGATGGTGTTAAGCTCTGAACTGTGCGCCCTGTCGGCGTTCCACATGTCATTACTCATAATATTAGGCCACCCGGCAGTCAGGCACCAATGAGGCTGGATTTGGGATTACTTGTCCAAGAAAGACCATGCAGTTACTAGCATGTGATACTAACTGGCTACTTAATATACTGAATCTGCTTTTCTTCGACTGTTTCCAGCAAGTTACGATAGCTCATAAGAAATGCTCAGACCATGAAGTATCGACAATTTCCGGTTGCGAAAGCAGGTACTCAGCTGAACCGTTAGCAATGATCCTTCAATCGCAAGTGTATGCCTGCATTCATATACAGTAAACAGAGAACTTCTCAATGAAACTCGCGAACAGATGCTCAGCTTTAAAATTCCAGTTTGTCTGATAATAGACCTCACTATTTTTTACGATAACAGTCGTTTCGCAGGGGAATCTGACCGTTTGTGGTGGTTCAGTGTGGTCATTCTTCGAGTATGGGATCGTTTGTCGAATACTCGTCATTTTCGCTTGTTTATAAGTGGTCAAGGTTATACCACTCGGATATGAATGATAAACTTCTTGCATCCTTAATTCATTGCAATGATAATATCAAATCACGTGAATTGTTGCTCGTTTTACCGGGCATTATGCGTCATCATTACAAGTATACGGTCGATTTGAAGATATGACAACCATCGTCAACACGATGTGCCGGTGTCATCTTTTAAGGCTCACGTCTTGACCACCCGTGGTGAAATTACGGAGGGCATACACAACCAAGTTATCTACGATAACCTGACAAGTATTCTCGCCACTTGAGTTTTGAAATTTTCATAATCTCTCCACATTACGGTACTTTACAGTCCAAGTAATGGAACGACGGATCTTCTAATATCCATCCAATAGGTGCTACTGCAATCGCATCAGGAGTAATCAAGTAGAGAGGCATGAAAGCAAATGCGCCTCTCTGTACGGTGAACAAAGAATAAGCATTGGACATTTTAGCAGACAAGTGGAAGGTTACTCTACATTGCGTTACAGAGTGTTCAAAGTGTTCATAATTGCGTAAAGAATATTCTTTTCCATGAGTCTCATGAAGTATGTGTAATCATAGGCCAAAAGTGGAAAATCGAGTGGTCACTGAAAGCTACGTTTAAGTTGGAAGCACCACGAAATACACAAGGATCAGTGACTTAGTATGACACCTCTTCGAGCGATCTCTTATTCGAACGGGGCCGTCCAAACAAAACACACATATGGGTGTTGGCGGACAGAGTACCGGTGATAAAAGTTGGTAGCCTGTTGTATTTCAGTGGAACAATACGCCCCGGAGTATGCTCAAGGCCTATCTTTCAGCAGTCATCCGGTGTTCTAATTTTGTTGTTTAGTTGTAAATGTCCGATAAGATTTATCAGAAAGAATATTCCTGGCGTGATTGTGAAAGTCGTGATACGGTTGCTTCCAGGAAGGACCGACATTTATAATAATCAGCACCCCCTAATGGATGGGGATCTAAGGAGCGAAGAGGACTTCTGCTAGTCTAAACGCTACGGGCTTCCTGCGGTACAGCATAGAGTACTTCAAACAGTACCCGTGACATGTCGAAAAACAACAATTATGGAGCGTACTGTATTCCAGTGTCCCAGAATCAAAGTCAACATCAATTAGAGGCAGGTAGTTGGACGACTTCGACCAGTGGAACTCGGCACTGTGTTTAAACCTGTACATGTGGTGTGAATGACGCGGCACCCCAACTCTTAGCATTACGGGGAGTCATTGCTTCTGCTTGCGATGCTGAGCTCCGTCAACGGATTAGAACCAGTTCTGTTGTAGATAGATATACTCAGAAATGGACACTGCTCCATCCGCGTCTTTCCAGACATCGCATGGGGAGAGCGTTATCGTATTTACCGTGGCTTAGAAGACCACCGGCAAGAGACTTTAGCCAGAACCATCCTCATCCACGGCGTTCCTGAAACTGAGGCATGCGACGAGTATGAAATAACAAGTGACAAAGAACAATGATGTTATATTAGCGGAACACTCTCCTTGAATAACGTGCTAGCGAAATCGGTGTCACGGCTGCGTACGTCTCCAAATTACAGGGAAGTGGTCCCAGAGTGTTGAAGGCAGTCCTAAAGTCATAACAAATGGTAGCACGGTTACTGAAAGATAGCACGATTTTCCTTGCACGCTGCCATCTGAGCTTCGACTGAAGGTAGCGAGGGAGATGCCCTCCAGAGGTGTCATATCCCACAAAGAATCAAACGCGATGGGAAATATGATAGAACAGTGAGCCACCAGTGCTTGATGAATCCATACAATCTGTTGATGAAGTGGGGGACCAAATACTTGACGCTGTACGCAAAAGATTAGATTCCGGTTTAACTACGCAGTTAACGAATAAGACGTCGGCGACAAAGACGTCGCCAAAGAAACGATTAGCCGCCGGTCACCCACTGGTCAGTGAAACTTCACGTAGGGGTCGCACGATCTCCGAGGTATTGTTGAAATTCGAAAAAATTTCCTGTATGTACACCAACTCCCAGAGGCTCCTCAGCAAAATTACTAATACTTCGGATACGTCGGGTCGTGAATGACTGTGATGTAGTCTTCAATACTGAAACCTAGTTGCACAATAAGTTGCTGTTGCCCAAGTTGAGATAGCAGGAATGTTACTCACTCGATACGACCGCACTGACCTGCAATGTTAATGATCCAGAAACTCATGGTACCGACTCACTCAGGTGTCGTCTCTGACTAAGACACGACGATGTATATCTCGTAGTTGTCACTTACCTCTCCCCAACATCTACCGGAAATGGATTCCCGGTTAGTAAGCAGCTCAAACGTGGCAACACGCCTTAGGTACAGTCACATTCTCATCGCAGGTGACTTCAGTGTACACGATCTGGAGTTAGTAGCATTTTTCAAAGAACCGTTCGAATCAGACTTGTACGAATTTATCGCTTATATTCCCTCACCCAATGGATTCAGGGCTGAAAACAAACCGTCCGTATTGGGTCTTGTGCTCATAAATATATATATATATATATATATATATATATATATATATATATATATATGATTGGCGGCATCCGGTTTCGGACATGCCTGTCACTGTGGCAAGCCACAGGACGCCTGCGCCTACGGAGGGACCATGGATGGCTTGCGCTGCACGATTCACACACCCCATATCCAGTGTAAACCCGAAGGAATATACCGGGAGGCATGTGGATGGGAGCCACGTTTCGTCAGCGGAGCCGGCCCACACTCCTTCACAGGCAAACACAAGCACGCTGTATTTGGGGAAGCAAACGCACACAAGGCGGTGGCTGGACCGTAGTCCGCTCCACACTGAGTGCATGGAACCACTCTTCGAGCCTATCACGGCCACAAAGACCGTGCACCCAGTCCCCTCCAACAAAGATAAAGCATCTCCTGGAGCCAGTATGGACGAGGTAGTGGGTAATAGACAGGTAGGCACCTTGTCAACATGCACATCAAGCGCAGCCACACCGCGGATATCAAGCTACAGCCATTCACTTTAAACGACAAGCCGAAATAAAATAAATCCAATAATGCATACAGATACGGTGGCATAACTCCTCCCTAAATTACCACATGAAGTAATTTGCTTAGCAATGAATCCGCGATAAGTAAGAAATGTCCACAAGTTACTTAAAAATGCTGCAAACGCAACAAAGTTACCGAAGATAAGCGCAATTAGTGTAAGCAACGTGGCCAGTTAATAGAAGATTATTCAGGTAGGCAGAACAAACCAAATAAAGTGGAATGAAATTTAGCCAGATTAAAAAGACCTAGTTTAAGTGTAAGTTGGTTTAGCCCATGCATGCTTGTTCGGTCTCTTGTCCATCGTTTATCCCAGCGCTCGATGTTGTACACTCATGGGGCGGTCCTGAAATATGTCATTTTATGTACAGACGCATTAAAATTAAACATAAATTTAAACAGAAGAAAACGTAGGTGCAATAGTATACAGAACGGTTTGCGCAGCAAGATTTTGGTCCGTAGATTACTTGCTCTGTACTTGGTTTGTTGGTGTGTAGTGACCAGGACCTGAGACCCTTGTCATTTCCGTTGGTTTCGATTCAGTGCGGCTTTGACGCAACTAGCTACAAAGCGATATTCTTCTGGGAATCTTTACCGTTGCAGTAGGAGCAGCATAACTGCCGTACTCATCAGATGGCGAGGACACCCGCTCACGCGCGACTGGTGGTGGTCGCGCAACAGCGAAGCGCCGTTACGACGTACAGCTGACACAGTACTTATTTTATAACATCAGCTGTCAGCAATGATCTCCGGTAGGCTGTTCCATTCATTCACAAAACGGGTTGATAGGGCAGCCTCTGGACAGACTTCCACTTGTGGCCCCGTGTCAAACTGTCTACATTGAGCCGAAAACTTTGTACCTCGCTTCCAACTTCT